AAATGTCAAGTGGTAGATCTTTAGGAGTCATGGCCATAGTTTTACTATCTTGCCCCTTGCTCAAAGTTGTCCTATTTGAATTTTACTTGATTGTTATCAAGCAACTCAACTCTACTGTTTCTTCTATGCCTATACCCTAGTAAAAATCTGGACTATAAAGTAACGAGTTATCTGTGTAGCAGGTTCTGTGCTGGGCACTGGGGGGCGAAGGGTAACGAGATGATTGCTCTCCCTCCCAGGGATAAAGACATCTAGGCAAAGGCCTGAAAGTAATGCAGGTGCTTTGCCAGGGCACACCAGCGACAAGGGCATAACTCCTCCTGACGGGGGAGGAGGGGAGGGCTTCAGGCAGGAGGGGGCAGGCCCCAGATGGAGAGGGATATTTGGGGTAGAGGGGGCTGTCTTGGTAGAGGGGATATTAGCCACAGAGCCCTCGAGGGTGGGGACCATGGCCGACTCAGGGCTGCCCAGGGCCTGACAAGCATCAAGGACTAGGTAACCTCCTGTTGAGTGGTCCACACCTGCAGGGATAATACGGGGTCAGGGCAATCGCCACTCACCTCAGGGTTTATATGGAGGATGAACTTGGAGAGGTAGGTTTTGGCCAGACGGGGAGTCCTCGAGTGCCATGCTAAGGAGTTTTGATTTTGTTCTTTAGGTGCTGGGGATCAGTTGAAGGCTTGTGAGCCTTGAATTGTATAAGTTATGACAATACAAATAATAACAGCTAACACTTAGTAGGCACTTGCTGTATGCTTAGCACTGTTCTAAGCACTTTATCTATATTAACTCACTTAAGTATCACAACAGTCCTATGAGGCAGGTACTATTATTATCATCCCCATTTTATAGATGAAATAACTGAGGCACTGAGAGGCTGAGTCACTTGCCCAAGGTCACACAGCTGGGAAGTGGCAGAGCAGGGATCTGAACTGAGGTTTGGATCCTGTGCTTTTACCCATTATATTATCATGTCTGTTAAATATTAATATTTAGCTAATAGATAACAAGTGTGCTTTAGATGACATATAAGGATTTAATAGATCCCAGCCAATTATCAGCAACAGAAGCAGAAACTGGTGGCGACTTTGTTCACAAAGGGCAGCATCGGTAAGGAGCCGAGGCTTAGAAACAGAAGGTGCAAGCGGCTCGGAGGGTGTGGCTGCCAAGTCACAGGCCCCAGACTTCCACTCACGGGGCTGCTCCTTCCTGCCTCTGACACGCTCCAAGATTCCTTAAAGATCCCCCGCCTTCGGCCATCCAAACACAAGAGCCATCTGAGTGACTAATGCAGTCTGGGCAAATGGGATCGTGCCTGGGTGCCACCGGGCCATGAGGCTTTTGTCATCAGAAACATGTGAGCATTTATATTTCTTGTTTCTGCTCACACCAGGCCTTTGATTTCCAAGGGTGGGGTTTCCAGAGCTGGGCACTGCCACACCTTCATCTGGCTTTCGTCACTTTCTCTGTGCAGCTGGGGCACCAGGCTCTGGGGATGGGCTCTGGGGAAGGACTCTGGGGAAGGGCTCTGGGGACGGGCGGTCCACAGGAAACTGTGGTTCCCACCCCTCCATTCTGGGTCTCCACCAAGCCCTTCTCATGAACAGCAGGCCCAGATTCAACGCAGATTTCTCCTCCACAGCTCCACGGGGCCAGGAAGGGAACGGAGCAGACTGAGGCAGAAACTCCCCCACAAAGCGGTGGTGGTTCTTCCCTTTTCCCCGAAGCTCTCTTGGCCAGTTATGGCACCCACAACCACAAATGAGGCAATTAGGAGAACAAGTCCTGGCCGCCCTGCCAGCCCAGAGCCTTAGTCTGCCCAGGGCATCCAGACTCTGGGGGGTTCCCACCTGAAGAAGCAGTTCCACCTTCCACAAAGAGCACCGGACCAAGAGTCCAGGACCCAGGTTCTAGGCCCAGCTCTGCCACTCACTAACTAACTGTGTGGCTTGGGCTCTCTGGAGACCCCATAATGGAGTCAGGGCGTGTGGGGTTTGGAGTCCGGCAGAGGAAGATTCATATCTTGGTTCCCTAGCTCTCTGGGCAGGTGATGGGGGAGCGGAGACAGGGGGCCAAGTCCTGCCTCCTCCCTGCCCCTCCATCATGTCGTCTGGGGAGAGGCACTGGGGTTAGGAGAGATACATTTTGTCAGGTGGCGCATAGTAGGTGTTTGGTGTGTCCGGCACCTCCCCCGCCCCATATAAAATGGAAGCGATACCTGCTGAGGCTCTGGATGGGTGGGGAGACCCATCACGACAGTGAACGGAAGGCCCTGGGGGGAGGGCTCTGGGCAGGTACCAAGATAGGGCTGCCACGGTTGGAACGTCACTCACCCACTGTGGCCTGTGGTCACCCCACCACACAGAGCCGGCTAAGCCTCTCCCACGTCTGAGGTGGGTTCGGTTTCACTACAGGGCTCGAGGCAGGCGTTTCAGGAAGGGGCCCTCACCTCTGTGTGCTGAAAAAGAAACAGCGCTCCATCTCTGCCGATTTCTGCTTGGGAGGTACGTGAGCTTCCTGCACCATCCGTCCACAGACAGGCTGCAGTGGGTGGACACCAGGGCGCCGGGGCTGAGCTTCCAGCCTCCCTCCCTTGCCTCCCACTTGCGCTCAGATATCTGCAGGGGTTCCAGCCCCACGTTGGCCCTTGCGGATATAGTGGGCCACGAGAGCCAGCCCCCACTGGCAGGGTTCTGCCGTCTGGAGTGCAGTGTGCTTCAGTAGAAGGCAGCATGGGGTGAGGGGGGGCGGTGTGGAGACATAGGCAAGGGACCAAATGTGGTCTGCGGAAGGTGGTCCGGAGAGCTTCCCAGAAGGGAAGATCTCTGAAATTAGACGGAAGGAACAAGAGCCATTGCTTAACCGCACCTGGGCAAGTTGCTTCCCTGAGCCTCAGTTTCATTCTCTGTGGAAGGGGCCGATAACACCTGCTTCCAAGGGAAGGGTGAGAGGGTGGAATGAGATGGTGGGTGTGAAGGAACCGACAGATACTTCACACCACCTAAGTGCCTTGGGGAGATGTTTGGGGAATTGAACTTCTTTTTCAAGGGTCTTTTCCTCTGTCGATTGACACCTGTTGCTTAGTATAATCAATGTCCTATTTTAGAAAAAGTCCAGCTGTATCCCAGTGATAAGAAGCATTGAAAGAGTCCTTTCTCTCTCTGGGGTGGGTAATGGGAACTCCTCCATCCAGTGGGAGTGAGAAAGAAGACTCCAGAATTAAAATTCTTCCAAGCACCCTGCCTCCCCAGGGCCTATGCTCCTTAGATGTGTTCCCTTTGTCCTCAGACATTACAACTGTTTGTTGAGCACCTACTATAGGCCAGTGGTGGGGATTCTCCGTTGAACAGGGCAGACAAGGTCCCAGTCCTGACTAAGCTGAGGATTTGGGGAAGGGGGAGGGAGATAGACAATAAAGATGTAAAAGCAACAAAAAATATAATAGGGTGCCGTAATGGATAATTTGGGGGGCTACTTAGGGCGGTTGGGACATTTGAGGAGGTGGCACTTAGACCTGAAGTCCGAGCTGGCCATGGGAGAAGAGATGAGGAAAGAATGATCCAGACAGAGGGAACAGCAACTACAAAGGTCTTGGAGGGAGGGAAACTTGGAGAAACTGAGGAACTGAGTAAACGTCAAAGAAAAAGAAGTTGGTGGGTGGGTGAGTGACGTAGGAGTCAGGAGTGGGCAGGGGCCGGGCGGGGGGGGCGGAGCTTGGTGAAGGGTTTGGATTTTATTCCGGGGACAGCAGGGAGGTTTTAAGCAAGGGAGTGGCAAGATCAGAATTCCATTTTTAAGGGCTGGCCCTAGCCGAGGGGGCTGCAAGAAGGCAGGAGTGGAAGCCAGGAGACCTTCAGGAGCCACTGCTCTCCCTGTCTGTGTGTCCTGGGACAGTCACCTCACCTCTCTGAGCCGATGTGTGACAATCACACAGTATGTGATTGTCAGAGCCAAATTGGGAATGAACAGAAACACACTTTGGAAAGCTAAAAACATCCCAATGCAGGGGTTCCTTGTCTTACTAGAAGTGGACGGTCCTTGGGGAAACTGCTGGGTTAGACCTCTCTGGGGTTCCAACGTGGATAGGAGAGCGCTGGGGCCAAGTCCTGACATCCGAGAGAGCCCACTTTTCCCACCTAAGGTCACAGGAGAGGCCTCAGGGGCTGGGGCAAGGAACTGCTTGAGGCTGTGACTCTTGGAAGGGAAGGCGGAAGAGAAGGGTCACCTCCCTGGTTTCTCGCTTGCCCCAAAGCAATGGTTCTTAATGTGTTGGGGGAGGGTCACACCCTTGAGCATGGGGACATGGCGGGACACCTGCCTTTTTTATTCCACCTTTTTTGTCCAGCCTTTCTAGAGATGATGGGGAGACCCCCCACCGCGGCCTTGACTCGCCTAAGGGCCAATGGTGGAGGCACCTTCCTGATACTCTTGTTATGTGCCATTGGGAACCCCATTATTGAAGGGGGACTTAAGGTTTCCTAGAAGGAGGGGTCGCTGTGAGGCCCTTTCCTGCCTGCTAAAGGGCTTGAGTTGGAGGGCCCCTCTCCAGACCTCTCGGGAAGGGAGGGGCCCCGTCTCCCCCGAGACTCTCGGGCCACCGGGGTCTCCTCGAGAACCCGATCAGGGCCCGCCCACGAAGGTGGTGCGAAGCCCGGCCCAGACCCCAAGCCCTGCCTGCCCTGGCCACCCGGGCGCGCGGCGCGCGGTGGCAGCGGTGGCAGCGGCGGGACCTGGGGGTCGAGGGACGCAGCTTGCGGAGCCTGTGGCCACCGCCCCTCGTGGCCGCGGTGCTGTCGCTGGGGGTGAGGGGAGGGGGCGGGGGGCGGGCCACCCCTCCAGCCCTACCCCCCCTCGCCGCGGGCCGGTGCGTGGGCCGGTCTCGGGTGTCCCGGCCGGGGCGGGGCGCAGTGGCAGCGGCGCCAGGGCTGGGGCCGCTTCCCCATTCGGGCGCGAGAGCCATGGAGGCGCTCAGGGAGTCCGTGCTGCATTTGGCCTTGCAGATGTCGACCTACAAGCGGGCCACGCTGGACGAGGAGGAGCTGGTGGACTCGCTGTCCGAGGGCGACGTGTACCCCAACGGCCTGCAGGTAGGAGCCCTCCGGGCCGCCCCGGGCTCCGCGCCGGCCCTGGCCCGGGCATGCGCACTGGCGCCGCCCCGCCCCCATCCTACCTCCCGGGAGGGGACCTGCCACCCCGTGGCGCTGGGCTCCGCTGGGCTCCGCAGAGAACCCTTCCTGAGCAGGAGTGCCCCTGAGGCTCTGGGCTCCCCCGACCAACCCTGACCATCCCCAAATCCTCCTGGCCACCTGCTTCTGGGGATAAGCCCAGGTGGCAGAGTTGAAGTTCCCCAGACCTGAGCTGGCCCAGTTCCCTTTACACAGAAGAGGCAGTCTGTGAATGCCCGGGTCTTGCCCAGGCTCACACAGCCCATTACTAGCGGAGTCTAAAAACTGTTTCAGTTTTAGCATGAAAAGACTGGCATCCCTGGAACCCGCCTGTCAGTGCCAGGCAAACTAGGGAGTCGGTCACCCTAACTGGAAGGCATTACCCTTTCTTCCTCTTTCCCCCAGTACCTGAATTTTCCGGGGAGGAGGGCAGTCCTTTGCGCCACTCTCTTTGCCCCTTTTCTGCCTACTCAGGAAGCGCAGTTCCCACCCCCGTCCCCCCAGTCTGCCCCTGGGGGAATCTCCTGTGCCCACTCGCCCTGTCTTGTGGCAGAGCAGAGGTGGAGGCTGCTTTTGCTCTCCTCTCCCTGGGGTGCTACACTGGGACATTTCTGGCCAGGACCTCCGCCCTGGTGGGATTTGGACCCAGGCAGGTGGGTGGAAAGGAGTTGGAAATGTCGAGGACTGCCCAAGGCGGCCCTGTGATCCGGCCCCTGAGAAACCAGCATAGAGAGAGGACCGGACACCTCAGTCCAGGAGGACTTCTGCCAGGCAGACCAAGGGAGGTACTGAGTCTTGTGGCTGCCTGGCGAACTGGCACCAGATCACAGCTCATCCCGAGGGCAAGCTTAGGGCGTGTGGAAGCTCAGGCTGCCAGGCCCACCTCTACCCAGGCACACCTCTTAGACACTGGAGTAGTCGTACCGGTAAAGGGAACCACGGTGGATTTTCTCCCGCAGACGAGTCAAATAGGCCCAGGGAGATCCGAATTCATGATGCCAAGTGCTCTACCCCTCACCTATATCATCCCACTTAACATTCGGGACCACCCCCAACTGTAGGGATTGCTTTCCCCACTTACAGATGAGGAAACTGAGGCTCTGAGAAGAGAAACAATTCGCCTTGAGTCTCAGAGCTAGAAATCTGGGACACATCAAACCCAGTCTGTCTAGAACCTCTTTCCCGCAGACGCTTCTTAAGAGCTAAAGCCAGCAGGAAATTAGATTTCTGGGGCAGGCACTTCTCCCTTCACAAATCAAAACAGAATCTAATCAGCAATCTTTTTCAGTCTCGCCTTCCACAGAAGGTTCTAAATATATCAGCACAAAAACAGTTCAGAATTCATGACGAAATAACATGCCATGGTGTTGGTACCACAGCAGCCCACTCAGGTGTAGCCTTTTTCGGATCAGATGGTATGTTCATCCAGGTAAGGGCCCCTGGCAGAGCAGGGGGAGCCCCGTCTCTGAAGCCCGGGACCCAGGTTTGAATTCATGACCTTGGGGGAGCTGCTTTGTCTCTGTCGGTCATGATTCCCTCATCTGTAGAACAGAGGTTAGAGAAAGTGGATGTCCCGTATATCACAGGGCCTGCTAGGATGATTTATTACCTGTCAGGTAAGGGCGTGGCCACGTTACAGATGGTGGAAGAGAGATGTGGAGAGGTTAGGGACGTTCTTCTGGTTACCTCACTGTTGTGTGGGTTGGGGTTCACTCTTGGTGTCCCTACACCAAGCTGCCCAACTAGGTATATTTTCCATTTTCCATACAGGAAAAGGCAAAGAGGTTGCCCAAGAATGTGGGGTATTTCTGTGGGTCCCCATCTGGGCTGGCTCGGAGCCTCCTCATCTCCCCCAAAGCAAATGTGAGCTGCCTAATGCTTGTTTTGCTAAGAGTCAAGAGCTCATCCACCTCAATTTATGAGACAGACTTTTCTGTTAATTTGATGTTTTCAGTTATTGGTTGTTTTTTCAATATAAAAGCTTTATGTGCTCATTTGTGGAAAAAAAATTGTCAAGTATAAAAAAGGATTAAGGAAACAATAATCTCACTGCTCGGAGATTAATGGCTTCTAGTTTTTCACACTATGTATTTATATATTTTTAAATATCAGTTGAGCTCACTCTAAATGCACAATGTTATATTCTGCTTTTTTTCATTCAATGCCACTTCGTAAGCATCTTCCGTATTGTTAAAAACTGAAATTTGCTGCCATTAATAGCCATAACACCTTATGATACCAATATATAAAAATATATTTATTTGGCCGTGTGTGGTGGCTCACATCTGTAATCCTAGCACTCTGGGAGTCCAAGGCGGGAGGATTACTTGAGCTCAGGAGTTTAAGACCAGCCTGAGCAAGAGTGAAACCCTGTCTTTACTAAAAAAATAGAAAAATTAGCCAGGCTCAGGAGGCTGAGGCAGGAGCATCGCTTGATCCCAGGAGTTTAAGGTTGCAGAGAGCTATGATGATGCCACTGCACTCTACCCAGGGCTACAGAGTGAGGTTCTGTCTCTCTGTCTCTCTCTCTCTCTCTCTCTCTCTCTCTCTCTCTC